AACTCCTTTGCACCGGGGTTTTCTCTCTGCAGCTGAGAATTGCACTGTGCAAAGAAAGCTCCAGATGGCGGGAAGTAATTCTGCAGTGCCGAAGCACACACACAAATACTCATTAGGTTATGACAGTGTGCTCAGCAGCCAGTCAGGTCTACCCTGCTGATTGGCTTGGCTCAGCTACCTTTGGACAGCACACAGGGAGGTATGTGGCAGCACCCCCAGCCTGCTGCCCTGGGCCAGGGCAGGCATCCCTGTGGGTCCTTCAGCCCCACTGATGGCAGAACATGTGTTCTGTTCCTTTCCGATTTATTCTTTGCAGCTTAGAGCAGAGGTTCCCAACCCCTGAGTCATGGCCCAGAAGGGTTGGCTGCCAGTCCACAGGAGGGCTGGCTGCCAGATCAGAAGTCTGGAAGTGACCAGCATACTGCAGAGCGGCAGCCAACCCTTTTTTATACTGCTGCTCCGCAGTATGCCGGTCACTTCCGTACTGCAGTTTGCCGATCCTCAGTTTGCTGGTCTGTGGTCATTTCTGGTCTGTGATCTAAAAAGGTTGGGAACCCCTGACTTAGAGAAATCCACAAAGGTTTGATTGATTCCACCTCGGGCCTTTTGATTGCCTGTACTTAGCTTTTATTTCATAGGAGAAAACAATCCTTATGTCTGTTGCCTGCCTCTGTACATGACAGATCATGGCAAGAAAAATTGTCTGTTTTTTAATTTCCCAGAGATGTAATGAGAAATTAATTTTTATGTTTCTTATGTGATGATCCCAGGGCCCAGCATTAGTCCTCTGTTCTCTTTAAGGCTCCTGGATTTCTGTGAAGATATATGTGTACTTAACTTTATGTACACACACATTCCCATGGACTTGCAACTGTTACCATGACTACAGTAGAGCTACTCTCAACATGAAATGTTAAGTAGACTTTGCAGGATCAGGGCCTAACATGTTTTCTACAACATTCTGCTTAACCTGAATCTAAACTTTGATTTTTCTCTTTCTGAAGTTATGTATCAGAGAGTAAAGATACCATTTGCCAAATAAAGAGAAAAGTCCAAAATGAGAGAAATCTGTTGCCAAACCTAAACACTCTGGTATTTACAGGTACTGAGGTGGTGAAGTGAGGTGATTCAGGCTTTCAAAAGAAAATGCCAGACCATAGCAGTGATCCAAACACTTCAAGTTGCATTCCAACAGTCAGCAGGACCTTTTTACTTTGTAAACAGTTGGGAGTAAGGATATTGGAATTTGACAGAAGACAAGTTAGTGGTTTCACCCTATTGGTGACCAATCAACAGCTCAGGGGCTCAGGCATTTACATGGAATTAAGGCTTTTCTACCTGGAGAAATAGCCCAGAGAATGCAATACCCATTCTATAATAGGTCCCCATGCAGACACTTTTGGAATTGGATTAAATTAAACCATACAGGTCATGTTCAGATGAGCATGACACATCTGCGGCACCACATACTGCATGTTCCATTGTTCTCTGCACTGCAAGGATGTCCAGGGGTCAAAAAGAACTGTGGGGGAAAAAAAGCGGAGTGGTGAACATGGCGGCAGCATGTGCCACCCAAACTGGAGCCTGGCTGGCCAGAGTCGCACTCTGTGGCCGGCCAGGCTCTGTGCAGCAGGATCACCGCTGCTGCAGCCCTGGGAGGCCCCCAGAACCCCAGGTAAGGCTGCCAGGGCCAGCACGGTGCTGGCTCCAGCCTCCCCTACTGCACCCGGGGTAACTTGCCACGCACCAGAGGACGTATGGCACAGGCATTCTCCGGGGACAAGTAGTGGTAGCATAAGGTGCGCTGCTGGTAGGTGCCCCTGGGGAACCAAACGTGCATGCACATCTGCATAAGACATTTACTGCACAGTAGACTAGTTAGCCGCACCACTAACATCTCAGCATCTGCATGTGTGCCCCTATTAGGGTAGAGTAAACTAATTTACTCAGCAGCAGGCTAGTACTTGTAAATACAAATAAATACAAGTACTAGCCTGCTGCAGATTAAAAAAACACTCTGTGGCAGTGCATGTATAGGTGCTACCCAGCTGCTTCAGTGTGGGGTCTGCTTGAGCCCCCATTGGGCCAGGGGGAGCAGCTCTGGGCTGACAGGCTGATCCCTAGAACCCCTTGCCAGCCAGGGCTGCTCCAACCTGGCTAGTGCTTAGCGCTCTGAAGTAAATTGCTCCCAGGTGCATGTTTAAACAGTGCACTCAGGAACAATTAACTCTAGAGCAATGAGTTCCTCAGTTTACTCAGGTGCTGTAACTGCACATGTAGATGTGCCCACTAAAGCATTGTTAGTGCCCCATGTAGATGCACTAGCTATTCCTCAACAATGGTAATACTTGTGCTTAAGTGTACAATCTTTCCTGGTTTGCAGGAGATTTTTCTCATTAAAACAAGCCCTGAGAGAACAGTCTTTTCTATTACCTTTAGAAAAGAAAGGCGTACCTTCTCCACCTTATTCTTAAATACAAAATGGGTTTGACTAAAATGAAAAAAACATTCTAGCTATAACCAGTTGAATCAGAAGTCCAGCCCTTGGGTACTCTGAAATCTGGTAGAAGATTTTATAACAGTAGTATATACTGGCATTTAGTATGAAGTATAATCTTTATTCTTAAGATCTTCAGCCTAGTGTGCCCGCTCTCCCCCGCTCCCCACCCCTGGGTCCCCTAGATGGGGCTCCTCAGGGGATTTAGATATAACTTCACTCAGGTTCTAGATTTCAGCAGGGCTCAAATAAGTGGAATTACATACCTTGCTTCTTGGATGGGGGCAGTTCTGGCCATGTCTAGGAAAAACACATAGGAAACTGAGATAAATAATAGACGGGCTGCTGCTTAGTTTAGGTACCTCCAGATTTAGGCTACCAGTAACAGGATTTCCTGGATCACAGGTATGGATTTAGGTCCCCAAAGTCCCCCTCAGTCCCTTTTTATGGATCTAATTTGAAGGCCGGCACTAAGATGGTATTGCCATAATACAGAAACTGCTTTAATCTTCCTTAGTTTGTCCAGCATCAGCTAAAAATGACTTAATGTGAAGTGAAGGAAATGTTGTAACACACATTTTGTTGTTGCAGATGAGCATTACTTTCTACAAGGTGCAATAGTGGTTGACCATGACTATGTTGGCTTATCTGAAAGATCCTGTGGGCTGGTCTGCCAAGATACCATCACCAAAGGGGAAGGAAACACCTTTACAACAAATGATGAGTTGCCTCCACCTGACAAAGCCCTTGAACTGTCAACATGTAAAAGTCAGCAAAAGTCACAAAAAAGTGATCTTCCTGTATTTATGGAAGATCACAACATTCCACCAGCTAATGTAAATTCAGAGCAGTGGCCTCCCACCTGTTGGACTCTTCAGACCAAAATAGAGGATACCTAAGTAAATAAAACTCCATGTTATTCCTCTGTGGCAGAAATGGTTCTATGCTTCGGTGGTAGGCTGAAAAAACTTTGGAAGTTCTTCATCCTTTGACTAAATTATAACTGTTAAATACTTTGACTTATTTACTACTGTATGTGCTTTGGAATATTGTAGGACTATGGGGTTTCATTTTGTATATGAACTAATGTGCCTTTGTTGTTCCACAAAGAACATAGGGAGAGCACAGTAAAAGCACATTTCATCAGATTCAATTTCAGTTTAAGCTACAGAATATTGATAGATTAATCTAGTCTTACTTCATTTTTCTAGTTCTTGATTACAAAAGTCATAGCCAGTCATTACATTATATGACCTCTTCATTGATCATTAGAGATGACGTGTTCCTTTGTGTACAGATCTTGTAAGTGACTACAACCTGAAGTACATCACTGCCTTCAGTCCCAGGAAGCTAAGATAGTTCAGACTCTCCTTCAGCTGCCCTGAAATAGTTCCCACTCCTATTGGAAGTTGCAGGCTCTAGCCCAAGGCTGCACGATCTCAGAAAATAGCAGCTACCAGAAGTTGAATACATGAACAGTTTTGCACACGAAGCCAGCAGGCTTACAGCCATAAGGAAGTACTATTTCTGTCCTGATGTAACCAGAAGCAAGAATGCTGAAATTAGTTTCTGTTTCTGGTAATACAGAGTTTAGCAAAGCTCTCCGGCAGGGAAAGGAGGTTAGAGTCTATCAGGCAGGCTGAGGTCTGTGTCTGTATGAAACCATTCATGCATGTCTCCAGCCTGCCTAGAGGATGGCCTCTGCCGTCTTCATAAGCAGCTCTGCATCTGTCTTCAGTCTCCTACATTCTTCTTCTCACCAGAATTCTCACCTTAAAAGAGAGCTCACTACATCTGACTTCCTCACGTCTTACTTTTCGCCTTTGAAAATATGCCAAGATTCAGTTAAATAACTACAAAACCCCTTTGTGTACTTGCCTTAGTGCTCTTTACATGCTCCTATGTTTATACCTGAACTGAATGCAGGTACAAGAGGAGGATACCACCTTCTTTTCCCTGTTTCCCAACCCTACAGTACTCTTTGGCCTAAGGCAGGGGTGTCCAACTTCTAAGCAGCCAGGGACTGCACACTGTGGGGGCTATGGCTCCTCCAGGCTATATGCTGCACTGTACATAGGGACCTGCCATGGGCTCCCCTGCTGGCTCCCCCAGCATGGTGGGCTGTACTGTGCTATGCCACACTTCCCCCCTGGAGCAGGGGCATGCACCAGAAGCTGAAGGGGGACCCCTGAGCGCCTCAGCTGATGCTGCCATCCAAGTGATAAGGACAGCTTAGCAGTGGACAGGTGAGAGAATGTTAACCCTCAGCAGGCTGCAGCTTGCCAGTTGGACAGCCCTGGCCTAGGGAAAGGAGCATAGAGCTGGGAGCCAGTTCTAGTTTCACCTGTTTCGTGGACTGATTAATATCAACCATACTCTGCACTTCACAGCTGTTATTGAACAAGGCTATAGGACAGAATGTATTGTCCACCTTGTTATACATATGTGGAAATAGCACTAGAGTACCATTAGAACTGATTGGACGCTGGATTTCCCATGGAAAAGTTTGATTAAATCAAGTGAATTTTTCCTTGGAAAAAAATTACTCTAGCTAAAAATTGGAAACTAAAACCTGCAGGTTGTCAACTTTTCACCATTCAGTTGGGCATGATAGAATCTCCTGTCTTTGTTTTAAAATGAATTTTAAAAAAATCTTAGGAAATTCAATCAAAATAGATTTACATTACAAAAAATATGAAAGCAAATGCATTCATAAATAGGAAATAGCCCTGGTAACATTTTGATTTTGTGCCTTTGCCTGTACATATTAGGGCAACATTTTGAGTTATAGCAGCACAGACTTTTTTCACTGGACTCTCATTTGTCAGAGGGCCAGGGTTATTGAACAATTCTCTGCTGCTTCTTCTGTATCTATACATTCCCTCTTGGAGTAAGACCAAGCAAAGCTGTTCTTATCTATCTCCTAACTTCACACTGTTTGCACAAGGAGTGCTCTGGCATTTTTCAGCTAGTGGACAGTCTCTTTGGATTCAGATATATATCAGACAACTGTGGGGCTGCCTCCTAGTTTGCTCTATCCCTATTAGAAATAGCAGAGAATCTGCCTGTCATATCTGTAGTATCCCAAACAGAAACCACCAAACTGATCACATGTTAAGCAGGAAAGTAAAGGAATACATGGTTCACAGTTTCTTGGTAATTATATGTCTACTAGCATGGAAGCAGTCACTGAATTCATCAGCCTGGATCACTCACTGGATATAGTCAGAAGAAGAAGATTTAGCAAAAAGAATTGTGGATTTCTGAAGACTTTTTCCATTTGCCCCATCCTGAAACAATCAGGAGCAAAATTGCAGGAGAGGTAACTGGAAGCCTGAACCCTTGCTGTGGGTATGGCAGAAAAGCCAGCACTTCCAGAGAAGTCGGTAGGAATGCTTCGAGCAATTTTCCCCCCAAAATATGCCACCAATATTTGAGGCAGTTCTGATCTTCCTGGAGAAAAAAATGAGACACTATTTATATTTGACCTACCACAACTACACTCTTCTCTGTCAATTGCACAGACACATTTAATTTGCAACAGGGCACCTACAAATTATTTGATTCCCCACCTTAATTCTTTATAGGGTAGTTTGTGCCACCTGGTGGTGCATTAGCTACACAGAAACAATAGAATGAATGTGTTCAGGGAAAACAGAGTGAAAGGAAAAGTTGAATTGGGCAAATTCCGTAGCACAGAAACATGGCAAATTTTTCTTCTGCCCTCTCTCTCTCCCCCTCCTCTACCCCCCCCCCTTTTAAACTGATACTACTTTTGCATGTACTATTATCTGATATCAAACAATGGGGAGTCACACTACAGTAGGAAGTATCTGTACCACACTAAGTGTGTATTTAAATAAGAAACATAACAGAACAGGCCCCTTCCTATACCTAGAACATAAAAACTCATGCAGCTATTACCCATGCTGTGCCAAAATGTTTCCATTTTTATCCACAGATGAGACATGAATACTTACTATCTTTTTTTCCATCAATAGAATCCCTGCTTCATGGCTGAATCAAAGTGATGACGCATGATTTGGCTTTCACAGGAGGCAGCAACAAAGCTCCTGGAAACGTCATTCTTGAGAGCTGGGTAAATGTTTTATTTGCTTGTTTGGGTATAATGCCAAGATTGATGGCCTTTTCTGGTAGATATTCTTATAGTGACCTCAGTAACCCCTTGTGACATCACAAGTGGGTATGGGGATATTTCTCTTTTAGGGATGGAGCTGATGCATTTGATTAATCTGCTAGGCTAGATAAAAACAAAATGTGCGAGCTTTAAAATCTCACCAGACAACAGGAGTACAGCAATACTGCACATCAGCAGCTGTCATAATCAGTTTGGCCTAATATGAGTGGGCGCTTTTCTCTCTGCTCTGAATTCAGCATAAGGGCATATTATAGCATCAGACTATAAAGGCACAGATTATTTTAAATTAAAGGACAAAAAAACCAAGGGGAGAAAACATGATTTTCAAGTGTTTGCAGGGAACTAATGCCTAGATTGTTTCACAATATATTAAAAGAACTATTAGGCCAGTTTAGATCTTGTAAACAGAGCATTTAGAAATCCAGAAAATGAATAATATGTATTAGAAGACAATTTTAGAGAGTTCCCATCAAATAGGAAGAGTGAGCTCACAGACAGCTTGATTTAAAAAACTTTCTGGACTTGGAAGTTGATTACCTGTGTTGTCTGTTATCTTGAAGAAAACGTTACCCAGTCAGTTCTTGCTTTCTCCTGTGATCTTTAAAATTATTATACCTCAAAATCCTACATTAAAAGATCATTCAGGTTGCAAAGTCAAATGCTGAAGAGTTAGGAAGTGCCAGTATTAAGGTTGCCTTTATTATTAAATGTGTCTGTTGGTACAGACAAATGGCACAGTTACTGGGAGCATCTACACATGCAATTAGGGGTTAGCAATAAACTGCAGAGCTTATTGCTCTGCAGGTTATTGCTCCTGGGAAGCACCTGGGTGCATGGTTTACATTTGTTCCTGGAGCGCAGCATGTTGAGCCGGGTCACAGCGGCCCCAGCTGGCAAGGGGTCCAGGGGATCAACCTGCCAGCCTGGGGCTGCTCCAGTTGGGCTCAGTTTGCTGCAGAGGGGCTGAATGGGGCATGAGGTTGCTTCAGTGCAGGGCTAGCTGGCAGGCAGCCCCCACATTAAAGCACCCAGCTGTTCTGCACAAAAAAAACTCTGCAGCAGGGGAGAAATTGTAAATATAAGTCCTCCCCTGCTGCAGAGTTTATTAGTTTTGTGTGCCCTAATAGGGGTGCACATGTAGACACTGAGACATTTACTGTTAGGCAACTGTGCAGTAAACATCTCATATAGACTTGCACTGTGGTGTAATTGACTCTGGATTTTACTCCGTAGTACGGAGAGAGGTAGTTAACTCTGTTAGTTTGAAATCAGTAATATAGGACTATAGAGACTTGCTTAAATTGCTGTGAGACAATGGGTTTTTTGTGGCTCATACAGCCGATTTTGAGTGCATTTCACAGAGCCCCACCCCTCACCATTAATTGGAGGAGGGACTCTGGTGGCCCCATCCCTTGCTGCTGGTTGGCTAAGAGGTGAAAGCTGCCCAATTAAATAGTAAATTCCATGGAGGTATCATATAAACTACCATATTATTATAAATCTAAGTATTAAATTTAAATCTAAATCTTCGTATTCTGGTAAGCATTTTTCGGGGGGTTGATTCTGCAGAAAATCGCAGCCAATGCCATTTTTCACAGTGATCATGATGATTGCTGTTTTTCACGGTTTCCGCACAAATCGCAAAACTGCAATTAAGTATGTCCCTAACTATAGCAAGGAGTTGACAACACAACCGACTCTCCAAAGCTAGCTTCTTACAGTCGAAGCTATTGTAACATCTGGCCACTAGGTGGTGTGGGAACAAATCTGCACTGGCCCAGGATCAAATTGATTTTGGGAGCAACATTGTAGAGTTACTACACATTTCCCAAAGGACACCTGCAACCTGGATTTGAGTGATTTACTGCCAACTAAGGCTGTGCATCTTGTGTCTGTTTTACTTTTACTAGGTAGTAAAATGGATTTACTGCACAGCAGATACTACAGTGACAGTGGTAGAAAAGCCCACAAGAAGATGCTGCTTTCTGTATTCTGTATGCAGGGTTTGAATAGCATGCAGTAAATCATGGGTTGCACCACACAGTGAATAGTAAAGGAAAATGCTAAAGGGAATCACTGAACACCACCCATCTATGCTGAATGCCAGCATCATGTAGGAAAAAAGTTTGTGACTAGATACTTAGACTGTACTTATAAAGCACAGCCAACCTTCATTCTGACACTGCCAAACTTTTGAGTGTCTGATTTGCAAACCTAATATTCTGTTAAATGTTCAGTTCCTTCATTTTTAAGGGGACCACGCTGCCACTGCTGCCAGGTAGAACTTCCCCACCTTACCTCTGTTTTCGGGAGATGCCATGTAGGGTCAGACCAGGAGGCAGCTGGGGAGCAGAGGGAGACATCTCTGCTTTAGTCTGGCCTGACTATGGGGGGTGTGTGTGTGGGGGGGCAGCATGAGCCTGCTGCTCAGGATACAGTTAGCCTGCTCCTGCCTCTGTGCTTCCCAGTAGGTAAGGAGCATCCTCTGGGATTCACGCTGCAAGGCAAAGGTGAGAGGGCCCATGCCCATTCTGCAGTGAAATGGAAGAGTTCCCTCTGCCCAAGTCCACAGACAGTGCCATTAAATTCAGGGGACCTCAGAGTTGAAAACAGTTGAAAACCACTGGCCTGGATGTTAAAAAAAAAAGTTTGCTTTTATTTCTTCCTTACAAGCTTTGCCACAAGGGGTCACTCACTCACTGCAAAAGTTTTAATAGTTCACATTGTAAAACTATGAAGTAGACAAATCAGTAAGACGGGATGAAAACACAGTGGCCTGTAGAAACTGGTGGTGGAAAAACCTGCATAGCACAGCCATCCCTTGTTGACAATCATCCCGTGTCAAACAGTGTTCTCAGCAAGAAAAGAATGCTTTAATGACTCGACCAGTGCAAGAACCAGATCCAAATTTGGCCGTTTCACTTTAGAACATAAAGCAAATCTTTCTGCAAACACATAAGCCCTGTTTGTGCATACAGTGATGTCACTGAATTTCTTGCACTGTTGATGTGAATATACTAGAACAAATACCGCAGATGACAGCTTTTGAGATTAAAAGAAAACAGGGCATCCATCACAGCAGGGATGGAGAAAGGATGGTGTTAAAGAAGATGGTGTTGGCAGGCAACAGGAAGATTAAAGACCTTGTGTGGAATAGAGAATGTGTTGTCAGGTACCCAGAGGTGGTCCCCAATGGCGCACAGAATACAGCTAGTTTGTTTTCCAATTCACCAGCTCATTAGGATCGTCTCTCCTTCACCTGGACAGTCTGGAGGGTTTTAAAAAACTGAAGGATCTGGTGTCAGAGAGAAGTTGGACTAGATTCTTGAGGTCCGCTTCCAACCCTATTATTTTACCAGGACAGAAACTAAGAACAAACCTTATTAACACTAGTATTGATCTGCTTCAGAAAGAAGTCAGGAAAGCCTA